ACAATACCAATAATACAGGTGCATTGATCCAGATACATTTAAGCCATTCTGCTACATGTTATTGCTTTATAAGGAAGCATAAATGTTTAATTATTAATATCAATAGTTACACATAATTTACAGCACAAAGTTTCACCTTAGACTGAAAATCTTTACGTTTATAGATTAAAAAACACATAGTAGTTGAGAAGTTATGCCTTTGTCAGACAATCATAATAGACCAAAAGTCTCTTTATATATAAATTAATGATAAATATTCAAAGAAATATATTTGTATTCATGTCATGTACATACTTGTAAATATGTATACTGCCATTCCAGTTGATGGAGGGACTAAATTGTCATATTGTAAATATATAAAGATTTTAAACGTGAGTGTTTCTCTGAACCTTCCCTTCTCAGAACGATGTCAGTGACAGCGTGGTGATAATGGGCTTATCTCTTATCTTTAGTGTGTACATGTTGTTGGTGTTCATGTTTTATCTCAGCCTAGGTTGGCCCTCTGAATGCAGACAGCTGATAACAGGTCACTGTCAGAAGCACTGTCTGATTGTTGTGGAAGTTGACCTGAACCTGCCTGTAATGTCACACAGTTTCCACTAGAGGTCAGCGTAAAGTCACACAGGAGTTTATTACCTGCTCTGTCTGTTTCTCTGCATTCAAACTGGTGTTTATATCCACTAAAAACTGTATATACATATTGTGTATGTACAGTGATAGAGTTGTACATAAAACAAATGTGTACTATCTATATATTTTATATTGTTTAATATGTCTATAGATTATATTATATTATAGTTAGTCTAGAATAAAACATAGTATGTACTAATATATAGGTCATAGTATATCAAAATGTCCCAAAAGGTTAATAGAAAAGTCATAGTGTTGTGTTACGAAATATCATAGTATAGTTTTTTTTTTTAAAGTCATAGTTCAGGACGTTGTAATACATAAAAGAGAAAAGTAATTCTAAAGTATGTCAGTAGTATTACAGTAGGAGTAGTTTGTCAAAAATGTTTGGTATGTTGAAAGATAAAGACATGGTACAGTAAATGAAAAAAATAATAATCATACCGTAATACGTCAACAAAGTCTTAGTATATTACATCACACACAAAATAACTAAAGGAATCATATGTCGAAAATAAAGTCATAATATAGTATGTCATAACATTTTTGTAACTTGAAAACAGTCATAGTATAGTATGTCGAAAAAAACTCATTGGAGAGTTTACGTGTTACCATCATACTTGCCAACCCTCCCGATTTTCGCGGGAGACTCCCGATTTCATTGCCCTCTCCCGGTTTCCTCCCTGGGTCATATTTCTCCCGCATTTCTCCCGATTTCTGACAAAATCAAATTTACTCAGGACTGTTTCCACTCGGACTTTAATACAGCTACACCATTGTTTGGTTTCCATGGTAGCGTAGCGCGCGCAACTGAAAGGGTGAGGAAGATAGTCACAGCAAACAGAACAAGAATCGACAAATCTACCCTCTGCTCACTCCTTTCCTGTAAAATACAGGTCCAGCCCACACATATGGTGTTACAGGCCGCAAGGCACAACTACAATACACAACTACAATAAGCATGTTAATGTTAATCTAATACAGCTCCGGCGATCCACTAGCACCCCCCCGCGGTGGTTTTGGAAATGCTCCCGATTTCTGAGGTCTCAAGGTTGACAAGTACCATAGAGTTCTGTTATCCAGAATCCATTAATCGGCTTTGGTTTCCTCCCGATGAAAATATATCCTTCATTTTCATCCAAAATCTTTACGTTGTTTAGATTTTGTCCAGCTGATTTTGTCATAAAGCTGCACCAGCTCCTTACATACAGTAGGTGGCAGTCATGTACAGAGCAATATAAAATACACTGATTTTAATGACATTATTACTGCTTTTAATACGTGATACAATCAAACACGTGTCATCTTCTGGATTTTTACTCACATTAAAGTACATTCATTGATTTATTAGGGTTAGGGTTAGGTTCTTATTACTACAGAAGTGTTTCTAAGTGTGAAATAGGGGAGTTAAGTAAATAAATGGATCCTTTCCTAACCCTAACCCTAACCCTAAAGCCCTGACAATTGCATGGCTGTTATTTTAACCAGGTGAGAATACATATTTATTTTCTTCAACTCACTGTTTATGTTTTTTGACTTGAAAGCAATGCCTTACTTTCAATACTTCAGAGGATAATGTTCTAATAATAAACTCATCCTTCCTCTCTGGTGAAGAAACTATAAATTAGAGACACCGTTTCTCAATGAACGCAAGACTTTCTTTGTATATTCAGTACTGGGATTGTCTTGTTATGTATTGGCCAACATGTGTGATAATATAAATACATCTGCAGTAAGCTAATATCATCTGTCCTAGCTTTACCAATGTGGTAAGAAATATTCCACCTTTTTTAACAATTTAATTTTACGCTAAGCCTTGTGTCAGCTTAGCTTCTATCTATGTTTGTCATTTTGCTCTGAGAACAACTCATATAGCTATTCCAAGATACACAGCGTATACATGTGATGAAAATAGATTAAAATAACACAATAACGACACACACACACTATCATACATCCTCTGTTCATGGCATTTTCATTGTCCCCGTTAAATGTGAGCATAAACCTGAAATAAAAAGCAATTCTCTCTCTCTCTATATGTAAATGTCTTGTGTTGAGTTTTTTTTTCAAACACACCAAACCCCCTCTCTGCCTTCAGTCATTCAAAAGCCCCTGAACGAGGGAAGTCTAAATGTCTTTTGGAAATTACAAACAGCCCGCACACACTAATCTGTCACCGAGTCTTTCATTCAGGATTAACAAGGCTGTAAAAGAGCAGCAGTGGAGGAGGGAAACAGGCGAGTGTGTGTGTGTGTGTGTGTGTGTGTGTGTGTGTGTGTGTGTGTGTGTGTGTGTGTGTGTGTGTGTGTGTGTGTGTGTGTGTGTGTGTGTGTGTCCGAAATGTATAAAAGTGTGTGTTTTAGAGGGTGTTTATTCATTTGAGTCTTTTGCAGTGACACCCAGGTTCACACTCACTACATTAACAACCATTCACACGTTCAGACTGTGTGTGACGGGCAAACACACACACACACACACACACACACACACACACACACACACACACACACACACACACATACACACACACACACACACACACACACACACACACACACACACACAAACACACACACACACACACACACACACACACACACACACAAACACACACACACACACACACACACACACACACGTCTTCGTTTTTCATCCCGTTTATTAAAAATAATAAGGAATAGTAATGAATGACTACATATACCTTTACCTTTTACATTGAGAACACTGTATTTAATATCATTACATTAAGGTTTGCAAATTCATTCTACAATAGAGGGGCTGCAATCTATCATTAAATATGTAAATATGATATCTTTGCTTTTTATTATCAATGGTTTAAATATTTCTAGTTCCTTATAACATATACATCTACCAGATAGACCAACTTGAGGTCACAAGTACTTCATTTAAAGTTGAATTTGCACAGTAAAATGTTTTTTTTATAAAGAGATCTGTAGTTAACGACAAGTAGTACTAGTGACATTAGATCTGCAATAGTCAATGAAAACTAATTGAATACTATATAATCAATCATTAAAACTGTCATTTTTTAAAGTGGCCCTATTATACTAATTTCCATGTTTCATTTTGTACTGTAACTTTGGGATTTTATCCTTTGCAGACCATTTACAAACCCCATATAACACACTATAGGTAAAGGAAACCCCCCAAAACGTCATAACACTTTATTTTAATGAGAAATGCATAGTAAATCGTAAATAAAAACACAAGAAGCTTTTTATAAACCTTTTTTTAATTGGTGTTATGCATTTAATTTCCAAAAAGAATGATTAAATTCCATTGATGAGACAGTTTTACAGTGATTGGGCTCCACACGTAGTATATGACATGCAATTAAGGAACAAATAGCATAGTAACTCATATTTTACATTCTTAACCTTTGCACCCTGAAAGTATTTCACCCTGAATTAAAAAAAGAAAGACCCTTTTGAATCAAATGTAGGAACTTTAAGAAGAATCAGTTGTTGAAAACCCTTTTTAATGCTTTCCAATATTTACTGTAGTCCATTGCTGTGTCTCAACTCTTACACTTTGCTTGATGCACTGAAAGTCGTGCACTGTGACCACTTAGTAAAGTAAGTGTATTTTGACCGGGGATTGTTATTGTCACTGTTGTTAGTTACCTAGCTAGCAAGCTATCTACGCTAACGGTCTTGAAAGCAAATCATTACAGTTCGCTTGATTAACCCAATACAATTAACAGTGGCTTATTTTTGACACTAGTATAGTATGTTTAATAAATAGCGGGAATAACCCACATGAATACATTTTATTTGGAAAGCGCTGTGTTTATTGGAGCAACTTTAACCTGCAGCTTACGATAGCGAAGATGCTACGACGCTAAGTGTTGGAAGCGTTGCACACTTGACTTTTGGGACGGTATTAGTCAACCCAGTCTCACGGCATTTCGTGTTATAGTCACGAAATTAATTAAATCTATTGATTCGTGTTCACCAACACGATTTTCACAATTTTTTCGTGTCACACAGAACGATTTTAAATGCAATGTATTTCTATTGGTAGTATGTTTCGTGCCTGCAACACGTCTCTTTGTCCGGTCGGGTCTTGGAAGACCAGAAGCTGTGTGGTTCATAAAAACATGTTCTTACTCAATATCTTACCCTAAGCCTAACCCTATCCCTTTTATTTTAAATTGTATAATGTCTGAGTTTTTTTGCCGTCCGTGAGGAAAAGAAATGTCTCAGAGCCTCAGAATACTGACACCTGTATTTTATGTCATCTTTTTTTCCTTCTAATTTGTTATTATTTGGTGCAGGCACAAAACATACTACCAATATAAATACATTGCTTCTAAAATCGTTCTGTGTCAGAATACTTAAATCTGTATTTTTTTAAATGTCTTTTTCCTTCTAATTTGTTATTATTTACATTGCTTTTAAAATCGTTCTGTGTGACACGAAAAAAAATGGCGAAATCGTGTTGGTGAACACGAATCAATAGATTAATTTCGTGACTATAACACGAAATGCCGTGAGACTGTGTTGTATTAGTGCCTCATCTTCGTACTTATGGTGTATTTCGCCATACTTTGCAGTGGTATACATTTTAATAGCACAAGTAAAGAAAAGTATGCAAATTGAGACACAGCACATGTCAATTGCAGATTGAAGCTTCATCTCCGGACAGTAAAGAGAGCTAGTGCAGCGACAGAAATGTTAGCATCAATCCACTCCCTTTACCAGTTGTTGAAAACCCTTTTTAATGCTTTCCAATATTTACTGCAGTCCATTGCTGTGTCTCAACTCTTACACTTTGCTTGATGCACTGAAAGTCTTACACTGCGAACACTTTGTAAAGTAAGTGTATTTTGACCACTATTAGCTACCTAGCTAGCTAGCTACGGTAACGGTCTTGGAAGCAAATCATTACAGTTCGCTTGATTAACCCAATATAATTAACAGTGGCTTCTTTTTGACACTAGTATAGTATAGTATAGTATGTTTAATAAATAGCAGGAAAAAGCCACACAAATACATTTGATTTGGATAATGCTGTGTTTATTGGAACAACCTTAACCACAGCAAACGCTAAATAGCGAAAATGCTACGACGCTAAGTGTTAGAAGCGTTGCACACTTGACATTTGGGACAGTATTAGTGCCTCATCCACGTACTTATAGTGTATTTTGCCATACTTTGCAGTGGTATACACTTTAATAAGTACAAAAGTATGCAAATTGAGACACAGCACATGTCATTTGCAGATTGAAGCTGCATCTCCGGACAGTGAATAGATTTAGTTTAGGAACAGAAACGTTAGCATCATCTGCAAACTGTGAACAACGCCCTTTACGCTGATTGGCACAAATGGGCGAACTAAAGGGATTACGGCCAGGTATTCAACCCTGCTCACTACATTAGTACGCTTTTCACCTCACATACCTTTTAACTTTACCGTTTTTAGAGGGCTGGCGGTTAGTAAAAAATAATTACAGGTAGTTGAAAGTGGTGACTCTCAGATGCCATAACCATCGTAAGTGTAACATTAATTCAAGTGCAAATGCCACAAAGACTGGAATGTATTTAAAGAGATTTTTTTCGTTCACAGTAACAGTTGTGCTCGCCCAAAGTCTCGTCTTTCACTGGAGGGAAACGTAAACGTGGTGAAAAGACGAGCTTCGCCGAGCAACACGCGTTAAACTGGATTGAAAAGGCAGGATTCAGCATGGCAGTCACAATGATGTACGTGAAAAATGTTACAGAAAAGACAAATGTTATGACATCATTACAGTGTTCAGTGTTAAACAGTCCAGCCTTGTTTTGGAGGAACGATAAAGTTTAAAGGTTTTTATTTAAAATGTTACTTCTCCTCTCAACCGCTCTGTGCATTTCATAGTTATATAGTTAAGAAGTAAACATGTGGCGTGTCTTTTGCACACTGCCAGAGTTAATGATTTTGTGTTTATATGAGAAATATCACCAAAACGAATGGAGAATCTTTGCTTTTTTGGGGATGAACTGTGGTTTTGAACGGCAGTTTCTCACTTCTCTCAGTGTTTCTGGGCTCCTGACAACAGAAGATGCTTTGAGAATCCAGTTTCTCTTTTGCTTGAGTCTCCCCAAAAACCCCATCAATAGTAGCTTTTGATTGGAATCGTTTTAGAGAAACACCGGCCAGGATTTGATGTAGCAGTTTAATGTTTCTGAGGCCTTTCGTGCCTAAATATACACACTCATTCACCCACATCTACTTTAGTTAAGAAAATATACAGTAAATATCATCCATGTAAAATCACCAGTATAGTTTACAACCGCTAACTATTCCTTTCTCTCCCTTTCCTATATAGAGTGGTGCCGTATTGAGTCCTTAAACCCGGGAATGAGTTAGCATTAGCATTCGTCTCGTAGTCAGTTTTCTAAATGTGTTTTTGGTTAGCTGCCCAAAATAAGGTCTGTTGTTAACACAAGTTTTAGAGATTTTAACGTATTGTTCTACGACATAAAATACGTCAGTAAATACCCCACTGGTGGATTTAAAAACGGCGGTTGCTAACAAGTGTCTAAATGAGACGACTAAACGTCCAACACAGCCACCGTTAGCTTAGCGGTGGTGACGTGAAGTCATGTGACCGTGCTGTAGTTCCTTTATAGCCCAACATTAGCCGCCTTTAGCTTAGCGGTGGTGACATGAAGTCATGTGACCGTGCTGTAGTTCCTTTATAGCCCAACATTAGCCGCCTTTAGCTTAGCGGTGGTGACGTGAAGTCATGTGACCGTGCTGTAGTTCCTTTATAGCCCAACATTAGCCGCCTTTAGCTTAGCGGTGGTGACATGAAGTCATGTGACCGTGCTGTCGTTCCTTTATAGCCTAACGTTAGCTTTTTGCTTTTAGCAATGGCATTTATTCTTCAATTATTATAAAGTGGTGTTAATATAAGGAGATTATCCTGCTAAACAAAACGTGTTAGTATCATAAACATGTCTTCGCCACAGATCTTATTTTCTGCAATATTCCAAAAACCAATGGAAGGAAACGTTGTGATGCTAACTCTAGTTTGGCCTATAATTCATAATTATTGCACCACTGTATTAATCCAAGGATCGATCTTTATGTCGCTCAACAAACACTTGTATACACGGAAGTATCTCATGCAACTAGGATGGATTAAAACGTCGACACTTCACACCAGGACGAGTGACAGATGAGTTAAACTAACAAACAGGTAACATGATAATAGCCCTTTTCAAAGGCAGTTCACAAGCTGTGACGCCTCGAGACGAGTCCCGCGGAGAGACTACTGAACAAACACAGGATGTATGGCTGTACTTTCCATGAAGTGGCCATGAATTAAGACTAGTCCAGGATCTATGTCTCCTCTTTCCACCCGGGAGATACAAGGCTCAGATAAACTTATTTCACGAGCTGTTGGAGGGAATATCCCTGTCTTCATGTTATAATAAATTAAATTAATCTAGATGATTCTCCTCAATCAACTCATTGCTCATGCATTACTCCGGTTGGTTTATGAGAATGAGCAAAGCATTAAAATAAGAATTATGTATTTTACATAGAAATCTATTTTCTTTAGACCTAGGTTGTTTTAGTTACAGTATCTATATATTTTTCTTTAAATTGCACTTCCCCCATTTTGTTTTTAAAAGCCTCCAGCACTGATGTCTTAAGGCCGTGATCACACAGGATAATCAGCAAACCAAACTCATTTGGCAGGAAATCTCCTTAATGATTGGCACCCAACAAATCCAATCCAATCCAATTTCATCAGTGAATTGTCTTGTTTACCAAACCCCACCTTAAGATGTCCACCATAGAACAATGGTGCAAATTTGTAATTTATAAAATGACCAAGTAGTAGTTGACTTAAGACTTTTATACGTCAATATCAGTTTAAATTTGAGACCCTAACAACAAGCTTTTTGCAAAGATTTCACAAAGAGCTTAAGCTGCATTCACTTGATATTCAGTAACATGGCTCTAAGCTAACGTTGGCGTTCTATGGAGAGAAACACGCCTGATGAAAGTGAAGGTGAAACTCTTGATGTCATTCACCGCTCAAAATTGTCGTCAAGCGCTGCACTCAAAGTACAAATAATTTAGACTCTGACCTTGTTTACCGCTGACCTTTTGACGTGCAAAACCAATCACATGACAGCTGTATGTAGCGACGTAAGTTAGCATGGAAAATAACCATAAAAACAAAACTAACTGGCTGTTTTTACTGCAAAGCTCTGCGCCCAATTTCGCGATTAGCAAAGAGCAAACCTTACATCATGTGAATACAGTTTAAGTCTGCAAACTGACATCTTTGATTACTTCGTCCCAATGCTAGCTACAATAATCTAGATCTATAGAATCTTATAGAGGCGACTCTTCAGATGTTTTTTTGTATTTCAGCTGATTCACAAAGCTCCTGTGCGATCACGACGTTAAGCTAACCTCAGACAACAAAGAACATGGAATACGAAACAACCCCATCGACCGCCAATCGTTCTGGATCCAATGCACGGATTCTGTTGCCTGGAGACTCGAACAGAAACAGGAAATTGTGTTGTTTTTTTTCTAACCTTTAGATTTTTGGTGTATTCTCTTCTCTACTAACATTTTGCATGCTCAACATTTGAAAGGAATGTGTTAAGTATAACTCTTTTAAGACATGGCACGACCAGGGAGGCACCCATAGCTTCTGCCTGTGCACAAAATAGTTCAAAGACACATTTACGTAAACCAGGACTATATGAATTAACAACATGGTCGCACATCACAGACACGTAGAAAGACACACACATATAAACACACACACACACACACACTTACCGTACACATGTAGTACACTGAGACAGTTATAACAAAGGCTTCTTTTTTGACATACATTTTCTTTGCGTATACATTAGTATACATGTTTAAAGGTACAAGAATGGTGAGGATTTTACAAACAGATATGCAATGAGGTTTTTTTTCAATCTTTTGACAGAAAACAAACATGAGACTGTGGAAATATTCTCTTTTTTTAAGCATTTTAAGTCATTATTGCAATCTAAATAATATGGCTTTGTCTAGTGAAAAGTCCTATCTGAGCTAGAAAATGAAAAATAAAAGGAAATTGTTTTTATAGAGTTTATGACAACTTCATTAGTTATTTAAACTCATGGAAAGGTGCATTTTTATCGTAAATTGTCGCATAACTACCCACTGAAAAACCACCAGGCCATTTAGGAATAACCCACATGCTTATCAATAAATGTCTATTTATTTAGGTGGTTTCACTAAATAGAGATTGATTTAATTTACAGCACGTCTACTTCAATGCTCTATGACAAATCACCATGATATTTGTTGAATTCAAAGATTAAGGGATGCAGAAAATACTTTGCTCCTCAAACCAGTTTTTCCACGCTTCAGTGAAATTATCTTGTTTTTTTTAGCCATGAAACACTTTTTTGTTTAACGGTGGTCTTTGGGATGCTCCTGCAGGCTTTGCACGAACAATAAAAACCAATCGGCATGCACGTCTTTTTATTTGGCAAAAATAAATAGTACGATCTCACCAAAATGTCTTTGGTCTCGATGTTGATGAACTTCAATCAAATTAAGGATGTGGGGAAAGGTGAGCTCATCAAGAAAGTGAAGTCAATCATAAGCTTGGTTGCATTGAAATACATTGGCAGCACATTCACAGTAAAGTAAATAAAAACAGACATTCCCTGGCATTTGCATTCATGTGTGAAGAAGAAAAACAATAAAGAAAATAGTTTAAATTAAGAGACACTCCAGTGCTTAATGAAGAACCCACTTGTAACCAATCATAGATGGGATGACAGGAAATGACTGCAGTGGTCAATGCTTTGATTGTCTATGGGAACGCTCCACCTAAAATGATCATGACTGAATGTCATTGTTGAAAAAAACCAGCATTGACTTAAAAATATGGGATTCAAACAAGGTACAAAGAGTCTTGTTTGTTTGAATGGACGATACCTCGAGCTAACTAAATGTATTTCAAAATACTTGTGATTGAAAATCCACATATTGACATGAGTTTGTGACACGTTGGAGATCTTAAATGTTGCTTTTCTAGCATGTTGGCAGTCTAACTAGCTGACTTGTAAATCTAGAGGTTGAATTAGGAACTATTCATCAGCAAACAGTTCTTCGGAAAGCCATTGGTAACAGTGAATGATGTTTTTAAATCTCTTTGTGGGTTGTAAGGCATTAATAACCTGGTCTGGGGTTTCCAGAAGTAGTTTGAACAATAGCTTCTGGAAACCCCAAAACACACCAACCAGCCAACTTCAATTAAATTCAATTTCCAAAAAAGTATCCGATGCCTACATGCTACCAACAACTGTACACCTGTTTGACGCAAAATGAAACCCTCATTTACAATTCCTCTGCTAGAGGAGATGGTATGAAGGCACATGTCCTAAAAACTCAAATGCTGATTTTTTTTTTCAATATAAAGACCTACACAAGGTTCATAAAAGTAGAAAACACTCACTGAAATAAACACAACATGCTCCATCTACTGGAAAACATGGTGGCAGTGCCGTGTGAAAAACCACAGAAGCATGAGGACAGAAGTGTCCGCCGTCCTCCTTTAAAAGGGAATACTGTTCTCCATGGGTCCCCATCGCCTGTCAACAGATCACGGCCAACCAATCACAAATGTCTGATCTCAACAGGTGTAAAAATAGCGACAAGAAAAGGACAAAAGACGTACTAAGTCGTAAGAAATGTGCTAAGTGGCAGTTGAAAGTTTGTACGGCAATTTGGCAAATAAAAGAGGGAAGAATAACGCAATCGTCGAGGAGTAGAAAAGAATAAACGATTTCTAGAAAGGCAGTGTGTAGCCTCTAACAGTTTGGCAAGAAACACCCACCCCATAATCCACTTTCTACTTTCTACATGTCCCCAAATCTACCCTGAAACCCTGCCTGAATACCCGAAACACTTCAGTTCAGCCACAGAAAGATCCCCACCTCCCCAGGCCAGACTGCACCCTGAATGTAGGGTTCGTTTCATTTGCTGTTGTTGTTGTTTTTTTACTTCTTGAACATGTCCTGGAGAGGTCCGGGCAGAAACTTGAGGACGGTGTCGAGGATGCTCTCCTCGTCCTCTTCGTCGTCGTCTCCGCAGCCTCGAGGGATCGCCTTTTTGGGGCGAGTGAGCGATCCCTCGCAGGCCTGCTCCATGGCCGCCTTCTCCTCTGCCTCCTTCTCCTCCTTCTTCTTCAGGCCGTACTGAAGAGAGAGGGCGAGGTGAATGAGAGGAAGAGACGTGTACAGAGATAGAATAGGAGTTAGCTTTCTAATGAATTTGCTATCAAGAGTTACAGAGTTAGACCTTCTGTTGAAAACATTTTACAAATTCATTCAAGTTGCAGTGCCATATACACAACCCAGTGTCACGGCATTTCGTGTTATTAGTCACACAATTAATTTAATCTATTGATTCGTGTTCACCAACACGATTTTCACCTTTTTTTCGTGTCACACAGAACGATTTTAAATGCAATGTATTTCTATTGGTAGTATGTTTCGTGCCTGCACCACGTCTTTTTGTCCGGTCGGGTCTTGGAAGACCAGAAGCTGTGTGGTTCATAAAAACATGTTCTTACTCAATATCTTACCCTAAGCCTAACCCTATCCCTTTTATTTTAAATTGTATAATGTCTGAGTTTTTTTGCCGTCAGTGAGGAAAAGAAATGGCTCAGAGCCTCAGAATACTGACATCTGTATTTTATGTCATCTTTTTTTCCTTCTAATTTGTTATTATTTACATTGCTTTTAAAATCGTTCTGTGTGACACGAAAAAAATGGCGAAATCGTGTTGGTGAACACGAATCAATAGATTAATTTCGTGACTATAACACGAAATGCCGTGAGACTGTGTTGAATATACAACCTGAATACTGTTTCATAAATTAATTTTGTTACAATAAAAAGTAGAGAACATACAGCTTGTGCAAAGTTAGGTAAAAACTGTTGTTCAAGAACTCATTTTTCTTCCTAAGATTGTTATATGATGTATAACAAGGACACAATTAAGAAGGAAACATGAAAAAGGTCCTGGACTTTAATAATAATAATACATTTGATTTCTAAGCGCTTTCTCAGGTGCTCAAAGACACGTTGTCGGTACTCGGTGTACACTACAGGCGAGTAAAAAGACTTCCCATTTGCTCTGCATCACAGGAGTGCAGTAGTCCCAGGTCATAAAGGTGAAGCATTAGTTGGACCAGAGGAGTGTTTCCTACCTTGTCCCTGATGGTCTGCCGTACTTTCTCCCTCTCCGCCTCCATGCGGCTGTGCTTGGCCTTCCTCTCGTCCTCCTGCTGCCTCAGAGCCTCCTGGCGCTCCTCCTCCTTCTTCGATGCATCCGGATCTTTCTCCTCCTCCCCACCCAGCATCTTACCCATATCTTTGGTGGCCCCTGAACACAAAACAGATACAGATGTCGGAGGTAAACACGTGTTTTATTACTGAGTTTTCAACCTTTTGATGCTGCTCTTAGCTTAAAAAAACGGTTCTGGTCCCCCTCTAGCGTACATTATTCTTGAAAATAAAAGATTAGGTCATCGTCATCAGCGTCATGTTCGTCATGTTGTAAACAAATAATTATCTTTTGTACAAAACAACCAAATATAAATAACTTCTAGTTAGTAGTTTAAACAGCAACAGGGTAAGAATAAAAAACAGGACAGCACAGATTCACACAGATTAAAGATTAATATAATTGAAGATACAATTAAAATGATATCAGTTAAGTTACTTTTAAAATAGGAAATTACCTAAATGAACATAATATACATATTTGAGTCATATATACATATTAAATATATTTACATGTATGTGTGCCGGTTAAAAGTTATTGTGAAAACGGTGTATATTTGATGTACAATACTTATGTTACATTACATGTGTTATATTGTGGACCTCTTGTTGTGCATGTTTTGACAAAGTGCATTGATTCCTTTGTTACTTTGAAAGACATAAGAAAACCTACTTCACATGTGCTTTATGTATAGCAACACTGAACAATACACCACATGTACACAAACACCCACGTCTATCCCAGTCAACAATGAAAAGCGTGTGTGTAAGCAGTCCTGAGGATTATGTGGAGACGGGTTTTCTAAAGATTCTCGATGCGTCTTGGAAATCAAAACGGAAAGAGAAGAAGAGCCAGCTGGTAAAACTTCAAAGACGCACTGAGACAGAGGAAGAGACGTTCTTCCATCTGGTGTCGGCCATCTGTCACAGATACCTGAAGTATTATTCAAAGATTAACATACTTGGTATTGTGTCGTGTGGCGGCAATTTGGATTTGGAGAGAAATCTGAATTGTTTTATCAAATCAAATCAAATCAAGGTTTATTTATAAAGCACATTTAAAAGCGATTTTTGGTCGGGCCAAAGTGCTGTACGTGTAATAACTACAATCACATAAAAACACATTTCTATGTGATTTAACAGGAAGAAGTCTTGTCAGATGAAAGAGGACTCTTCCTGGTCAGAGTACATGGCAGGTACAACAACAAGTCAAAGAAATGCTATTTTCTACACGTAGACGAGATGTTTTCTTGGACAAGTGTTGAAATATTAAGTCAATTCATTGATCAAAGCCAAACTTTTTTCTGAACGCTACTTAAAAAACTTTCCTAAACTGTCAATTGAAACTCTATGGAAGAGGATAAGGGCCATTTTGTCATATGACATTTTTTTTTTAGATCTGACCAAAAATGATTTTGCTTTTTACTTATTCGATTAAAGTCAGATTTCTGTAAAATGAGAACATGTTTCCTTGGAGTCCTTTTTTATAAGTTGACTAACCCAAAAGAAAAAATGACAGGTGAATTGATGATAAAAAAAAATCAAGTTGCCATTGACGTCTCGGTCCATTTCCGTGTCGTAAAAAAGGAACATTTGGAAAAAGTTAAAATGCTTCTTTAGAAACTTCAATAACTTTTTCCTTTGATGTTTCTTTCTTTTACACAAGTTAAAATTATCTGGTGTTACCTTTGCCTAAAATATATAACATATTACCATGTGCATAGATGAAGAACTGAAACGATCCGTAGAGATGTTTGACAAGATGTTTGGTTTAATGCCTTGCTCAAAGGCTCCTCAGTTGTACCTGCGCTCTCCCTGCCTCACCTCTCTATCACGGACCGTCCACACAGCAGCGTTAAAAAATCTTGGACCGCTTCTGCCCATTCACTTTGAATGGGGTGACGTCACTTTGCCTCACTTTTCCCCGAACTGCATTGTGGGCAGCAGAGCGGAGATTTTCAGGATTTTCAGGATTCAAAGTTGAGCAATGTTCAACTTTTGAAGCTGAGGTGGAAGCGTCAGCCAATCAAATCCCGTTTATGCAAATCTGACAGTTCAAGCGCTAGCCAATCAAACCGCGTGTATGCTGGGAGAGACATACCGCAGGTCATTTCCTCATATTCCAAAACATGGAGGAGAAATTAGCGGTAGGGAATCACCCGGTGCTTTATGACCAGTCCCTATTTACCTACCGGGATACAAACCGGAGGAGCCAGGCATGGAGGGAGGTGGCAGAGACAGTGGTATGTTTTCGCCTGTTTGGGGAGTTTATATCCAGTTTACTTCGGGCTTTTTTGCTTCGTATGTCGGGGGCGGGAGATTCATGTGATTGGTTGTTGGTGCCTTGCTCGCAAAAAATCCCCAAGCTTCAGATACGCCCACCTCCAAGATTTTTTTAACGCTGCTGTGTGGACGGGCCGTCAGTGACAGAAGCGGCTTCTAGACGTGAAAGCGACTCCCTCAGGCTTATCGATATTGCTGCGGTTACCTCCGTCTGATCAATAGTAAATACAGGACCACCTGAGCGAGTATGAATTATGGATCCTCCAGCAGAGAGAAAGCTTCATCTGGATATTGATCCTGCTCTCAGGCGCTGATGGGAGGAAGGCAAGGCTGTCACACTGCTTTCTGAAACCATCTGGCGTCTTTCTTTAGCCAGAATAAAGACCAGATATGTAGCAGATCCCTCCGAAAGACGGTCGTACTCTTGACTGATGATTTCCAATTTATTGAAAACTCCAAAAAACAATGTAAGAGCTATACAAAGACGCAAAACAACAAGTACATCCAAGCTACGTCCATATTAGCATTAATTTAGCATACCAATAAACAAGTGAATTTCAAATAGTTAGCAAAGTTATAAAACAGTATATAAATGAATTAGGACACAACCCACATGTTTATATTACAGTGAACACTAACCTTGTGCCTCTTCGGGGGGTGCTAACACTTTAATGTAAAATGTATGTTTTGATATCGCCGTATTTAAATGTAGATATCTCCGTTAATGTCTTTACTTTTTCTCCGTCAAGTCTTTTCTTTGGGAACAGTAACTTCCTGTTAATAGCGCAAAGTCGCCTTCAGCATGTCTAAATAAAACAGGAAGTTAAGCTAAATGACGCTTAAGACATGTATACAATTGCAATGAAATTAACAAAAACAATGCCATCTCCTTTTCAGGTTCAGAGAACACAAATTGGGTTATTTACAAAATATCTGTCAACACCGAGGAGATTATTTCGGGAGAGGAACGAACAGAACAATGGAGGGCTGTGTGCTTTTCTGCAGTGTAACCTAAAGATAAGGATATATATAAGGTAAGATAAGAAAACCAGGATTCACACTAGAGATAAGATCAAATACAATACAAATCAAAATAATAATACAAAAATAAGGTGATAAAGTACTGTTGAAACAGATCAGTATCAACACTGACTGCAGTTTGGATGTTCTGGTTATAAATCATGACTCAAATATACTTTTTAAAATCCAATAAACATTTATGGTCAAGTCATCGCTATTGATTACCGATCAACTATCAACCCCCACACATATATTTTGGTCATTTCATTTTAGATCTTATAATATCAAAGTTGTTAATTTGCAATGGTAACCTAGGGTTAGGTTTAGGGTTAGGGGTTAGGGGTTAGGTTTAGGGTTAGGGTTACAGTTCGTTTAGGGTTAGATCGGTTTAGTCCATTATCTACATTTACTGCAGTTTGGTGGTTCTGGTTAGAAATCATAGGGTTAGGGTTAGGGGTTAGGGGTTAGGGTTAGGGTTAGGGGTTAGGGTTAGGATTAGGGTTAGGATTAGGGTTAGGATTAGGGGTTAGGGTTAGGATTAGGGGTTAGGGTTAGGGGTTAGGGTTAGGGTTAGGATTAGGGTTAGGATTAGGGGTTATGATTAGGGTTAGGGGTCAGGATTAGGGGTTAGGGTTAGGATTAGGGTTAGGGTTAGGGGTTAGGGTTAGGGGTTAGGGTTAGGATTAGGGTTAGGGGTTAGGGGTTAGGGGTTAGGGGTTAGGGGTTAGGGTTAGGGGTTAGGGTTAGGGGTTAGGGTTAGGGTTAGGGGTTAGGGTTAGGGTTAGGTTTGGGTTAGGGTTAGGGTTAGGGTTAGGATTAGGGACTAAAATATACTTTTTAAAGTCCAATAAAAATGTATGGTCAAGTCATTGCTATTGATCACCGACCCTTTCAACCTCCACAAATATATATTTTGGTCATTTAATGTTAATTTGCAATAAAACATAAAACTGAAGCCTTGTTATCTGGATAACATTTTAAAATAAAAACTACAAAATGGCTTTTTCTCAGGTGCCAAAGGTAATTTTCTATATTTCAATCAGGATGCAATCCTTAACAAGATCATGGTCTTATCCCAAATATTATATGGAATTTTTAAAAAGAAAACTTAACCTAATATTGTTTGATTTACTGACTTGTAACGACTGTAAAGATCTTATTATATCAAAGTTGTTCAATTGCAATTGTATGCTATAGGGTTAGGGTTACAGTTAGTTCTGGTTTGAGAACATGACTCAAAAGTACTTTTTAAAGACATTTATAGTCCAGTCATCGCCATTGAATATCAACCCTATCAACCCCCACACATATATTTTGGTCATTTAATGTTATGTTGCAATATAAAACACTGAAGTCCTACTGTAAGCACACTTGAGCCAAAAGAACATTTCTGAAGGAGTAAATTACTCAGAAGAAATGTATTTTTAAGGACTGTGTTGCTCCCTCTCAGATTAGTCTCGGTCCATTTTCGCGTCGTAAAGAAGGAAAGTTTGGAAAAAGTAAAAATGCTTCTTTAGAAACTTCAATAACTTTTTGCTTTGATTTTACTTTCTTTTACACCAGTCAAAATTGTTAAAAGTGCTGTTTCCTTTGTAGACTCTTTTAAATGTCATTTAAAGACATTCCTGTTTGGGTAACTTGTGTGCTTTTATTATATTCTATTGTATGTTTTTATTGTGTTTTTATTGTTTAATGTATTTTTCACAATGTATTGTGTTTTTAGCACGTCTTTATTCGTATGATGTTTTAATGCTTTGTCAAGCACTTTGTGACTATGTCTGTGAAAAGCGCTTTATA